CAAAGGAGAAGAGCTAGGGATATGTCTTGGAGCTGCCTGTGCTGATCACAGGCACACAACTGTGGAAGGGCCTGGCTAAAGTTAGCAGCTCAGATCTCCAGCTTTCCGTTATGGTCTAGCCTCATCCTGCCCTCCACCAGCAAGAAGGATGCCTTAACTACACCAGCTGTCAGTGATGCCTTCTTTCCTCCTTCCACCCTCTCTCTCTCTCCCTCCCTCCCTCTCTCCTTCTCTCTGTCATTCACCCTCCATCCTTCTCCGCCTCCTCCTCCTTCTCCCTCTTCCTTTCCCTTTTCCTCCCTTCCTCCTCCCTCCCTCCCTCCCCACCCTGCCCCTCACCATCTTACGGTACTTCTATATTGTTAGTTACCTGTTCGTGCTTGGGTTCTAATTAGAACACAAATTTCTCAAGGTCCAGAGTGTATGTCTCACCATTTTTTTTGTAGGCCTCAATACTAAACACAACCACTCAGTAGATACTTGTGAATGAATTTCTTTTTATTTACCAGACTTTCTACTGTTACAGGCTGCTGAAAGTCCTTTCAGCCTCTATTCATCCTCAGCAGCTTTATAATCTCAGTCTCAGAGCTGAAGCGTCCCTTGGGGCTTATCCAACCCCTACCTGAACGAGAATTTCCCTTGCAACAAAATGGCCAAGTGGTCATCTGGTGATTGGAGGCTGAACAGCTCTGATGAGGGCAAACCCGCTCCCTCCCAAGGCAGTCCATTCCACTCTTGGAAGGCTCTAATTTTTAGCAAGTTTTTCTAGAAGTCAAGTCTAAATCTGCCTCTTTGTAGCTTCCATCTATTATTGCCCCTGGTTTGGCTCCTTGGTCAAAGCAGAGCAAGCCTTGTCCTTCTCCTATGAAGCGGCCTTTCTGTCTGCCTATGCCTTCTCTCCTCTAGGCCAAACAACCTCACTTCTTTCAACTCATCCTCATGAGACGTAAACTTGGGATCCTTCACCTTCCTGGTCACCCACTTCTAGATATTCTCCAGCTATTCTAAAATGTGGTGCAGAAGAACTGAATACCTATTGCTCATGGAGGCTGATCAGGGTTTAGTCTAAGGTGGGACTATCACCTCCATTGTTTTGGATACTATGCCTTGCTTAATGCAGAATGATATCACAGTAGGTACAGGGGGCTCAGGGCTAGTCATAGACTTTCAGATGAAATGATGTATTTAAGGAGTTTTGCAAACAATAAAACTCTATACAAATCTAAGTTATTATCAGGGATTTTATTGTTCCTCTCTCCTTGGAAGGTAGTGTGTCGTGACAGAAAGTATGCTAGATTTTGAGTCAGAAGAGGATGCTACTCGTTACCTGCTTGACTTTGGCCAGGTAACCTCCCTTCTCTGTATCTCAGTTTCTTTACCCACCAAAGGAGGGGATTGTACTGAGTGACCTCTACTGGTGCTTCTAGTTCTAAATCCTAGGAGCTGTGAGCTTCTTTACTTTCCAGGGTGGGAAGGTTTGGGAGTGGGAAGAGCCAGATGACAAGACAATCCCCACTCTAGAACCCCAGTTCTATTACTTTCTAGAGAGGGACTTTGTAGTGCAGCTCCTGAACATTCTGACCCAGCCTCCAACTCTTCCCTCATTCTCCCATCAATAGCCAAGTATGCAAAGGAACATGGGTCAGGACACTGCTGTGTCCAAGAACCTTGTGGGGAGCTTGCTGGTGTAATGATGGCTAGATGTGGTAATTCCTGTCCAGCTCAAAGGGGTATCAAATGGCCTGCATTTCATCCCAAACTAGACCTCCAGCCGAGGCCTATAGGTGGCACTCTGATACCATCAGCTAGGGACTGCTGGCATAACTGCCTTAGGAGTCCTGTCCTTAGGACTGCAGTGGGTTCCAAGTCGTTAAGACTGCAGTGGGTCCTAAGCTCATAGATAAGAAACATATCCACCACATTTGGGGAACTGGCATAGTAGGGTCCCCCCCGGGCCTATGTTTCCAGTTCATCCTAGCTTCATTTGTAGCTAGGGCATCTCTTTGGTGCCCAGTGCTTCCACACTGGGGTCCAGTTTTGAAGGGACTGAGGTTGAGGATCAAGTGGAGGGGCCTGTAGTTCAGGGTGAAGGCCACTGGGAGAAGTACCAGGCCAGGTGGGCAGTTCTGGGCAGCTGGGTTTTATTGACAGTCATGAAATAGATGAGGTATGTGTTTCTATTGCATAGGGGTGCCCAGAACCACAGCCAAACTGTTGGTCAGAATATCATAGAATCGTAAAATGTTAGAGCTGAGAGGGGCCTTAATGATCACCTAATTTATCTTCCTTATGCTAAAGTAGAAGTTCTCAAACTTTTTGGTCTCAAGGTCCCCTTTACACTCTTCAAAAGTCATTAAGAACTCCAAAGAGCTTTCTCATGTGGGTCGTATCTATTAATATTTATGGTATCAGAAATTAGTATTATGATAAAAGTAGTTTTCACCTTGTGGATCTCATGAAAGGGCCTCAGGGATCGCCAGGGGTTATCAGGCCACTCTTTTAGAAACATTGCAGGCAGCTAAGTAGTATAGTGAATAGAGGAGCCCTGGACCTAAAATCAGGAAGGCTTAAGTTCAAATGGGACCTTAGACACTTATTAGCTGTGTGACCCTTAGCAAGTCACTTAGCCTCTGTCTGCCTCAGTTTCCTCAACTGTAAAATAGGGATAATAATAGTATCTGTCTCCCAGGATTGTCCTGAGGAGCAAATGAAGTATTTGTAAAGTGCCTGGCACATAGTAGGAGCTTTAAAATGCATGTTTCCTCCCTTCCTTCCACTGTGCTAAAGCCTCCCCACTTCTGCAGCTAGACATTGCTCCTCTAAAGATATTCCCTCCATAGTTACACTCACATGAGGAACATAAATTCTGAGAGTATAAAGAGTGGTTGATTGGGCATGGCCCAAGAAGCCATTTCTAGAGGAGCAGCTTCATCTGGCAATGGCTGTGGAGAAGGGAGTGAGGTATTTTTCTAGATTTAGTCTGGATCGTGGGTAGAGAACAGGCTGGGAGAAAGCATGGTGGCGTAGGGGTTGGAACACTGGATCTGGAGTCATGAATTGCACCTCTGACACTTGCTACCTGTGTGGCCTTGGGCGAGTTGCTTAAAATTTTTGTGCTTCTTTTTCTTTTTTTAAACAGGTGAAAGTAGGAGGTTGGATCTGATAGCTCTTAGGGTCTGCTCCTGCTCTAAATCTATGACCTCGTGACCTTCTGGGTATGTATGAGCATTGCTCTCCTGTGTTCCGCCTTGTGTTTTGCCTTTAGGCTTTCCAAAAGGACATAAGGGTTCTCACCTATTCAATTTGGCCTCTTCTTTCTTCCAAAAAGTGTAGTCCTTGGGCGAGAGTATTTTGAAGCTAATTATTTGGGGAGGCAATGTGATGCAGTGGGAAGGGCCCTGGAACAGGAGACCTGATTTCTAAGATCCTCTCTGCCAATGACTTGTGTGACATTGGGGAAGTCACTTGACCTCTTTATGTTCTATTTTCCTCAATTTCTTTTAAAAGTACATTTCATTGAAGCCTTTTAACATTAGTTATTTCTAGCTATATGTTCCTTCCCATAATCAATCAATAAGTATTAATTAAGCTCCTACCATGTACCAGGCACTGTGCTAGGTGCTGGGGGGATAGAAATGAATAAAGCAATCTCTATTTGAAAACCACTTACCTTCCCTCCTAAAAAGGAAAGTAATATTCTATACCTACAATCTCTACATCACACTTTCATAAATGTCAGAACAGTCTGAATATTATCACTGGAATTATAGAAGAAACTAGACGATGCACTGGATAGAATGCTGGGCTTGGAGTCAGGGAGACTCAAGTTCAAATCTTGCCACAGATGCTTACTAGCCGTGGGACCCTGGGCAAGTCACGTAACCTCTGTCTGCTTCAGTTTCCTCATCTGTAAAATAGGGATGATAACTGTACCTATCTTTCAGGGATGAGATGGTATTTGTGAAGTACTTTGCAAAGTTTAGAGGGCTATACAAATGCTAGCTACATCTACCATCATCATCACACTTTTCTTCCTCATAGAGTTGTTGTAAAGATCAAATCATCAACACTGATGTGTTGCTATGCGAAAGATATTGTGCCCTAGGAGCTAGGGAGGTATAAAGAGTTGCATAATATTAAATATTATTAATAATAATACTGATAACTACCATTTTTACATCTCACACCTCTAGAAGAATGCTCTCCACAGCATCCCTGATGAATGGTCATACAGGCGGTGCTGGAAGACCTCTGGTGACCTGCCATCCCCTGATGTCCTCATCTATCTCACTAACTACTAGGGCATCTTCCTTATATCAAGCCTCAGTTTGCCTCTTTGCAACTTCTACCCATTGGTCCTACAGTAGTTCTTTCCCTTTGGGCCAAGGAGAACACGTCTAATCCTACTTCCACATGGCGGCCCTTCTCCTTTCTGGAAGAACATCTGGCACAGAGCATAGAATAGTGGATATGGAGTCAAGAAGACCTAGGGTTCACTTCTTGATTCTGACTCTGAGACCTTGGGCAAATCATTTAACCTCTTCAAACCTTAGCTTCCCATCAGTAAATTGCAATATGTACCTCAATCAGTCAATAATCAATCAATAAACCTGTGAAGCTCAGATGAGAAAAAGCACTTTGCAAACCTTACAGTACTTTATGAATGCCAGTTATCATTACTGTTTCTTTTTTTTCAATAACTATGTCTAGTTTCTTCCTCACTGTATTGTGTATTTAGAGGGTGGAGGATGAGTAAAGGCAAGGACATGAAACGCAAATGCCTCTATTTTGTGCATTCTCAGTATTCCTGGTTAAAGATTCAGTGGGTGAGCCTGGGCTGAGTGAAGGTGAAACCATTGTTTTGAGATTGGCTGTGGATCAAGATTTATCATGGAAACTTGAGGGCTGGACGGAAGTGCACTCCATTGGATTAAGACAGTAAGGAGACTATGGTGGGGGAGTGGGTAGGGAAGAGGAAGACAAAGTCCTCCTGGTGGTACCTTGTAGCCATAAGGGCAGGAACAGTGATACAGCTCCATCGGATCCGGGCTACATGTCCCATTGTTCTTGCATGGACCAGAGAGGCAGGGGTTACACTTAGCTGCAATGCTGATGTCCACCGGGCCTGGGAAGCCAAAATCACAAAGTATTCAGAGTCTCCAAAGGATTTCACATAAGTATCTCTGCCTACCTTATTGCCCCACTGCCAACCTCTGCCCTGTCTTGCTGCAACCCCACTATCCTTTCAGCCAACTTCTAGCCCCAGTTTTAATTTGGTTTTATTCAGGAAGAAGAGTCCTCCCCAGGAAAGTTTCCATTAATTCAGCTGCTGCTTGATGATGAAACAATCACAGTAGGAAATCATTCAAAACACTTCTGCAGTCAAATTAATTACTGTAATTAGTCTGATCTGATTTCAGTGCTAATCTGCAAACAATACACTGTAATTAGAAACACTCTTTTCATAACGCAGGAAGTTCTGTGCCTGGACTCCATCTGCTCCCCCCGCCCCGGCTGGCTCCTGATTTACCCCACCTCGGACCTCCCAGGCTCCTACTACTGTAGCTTCCCCACCTTCATGCCATTAGCCTTGGCCAGACTGTGGTAGGCAAAGTTGATTGATGGCGGAAGGCAGTCAGAGGGAGGGACTGTAGGTGTGTACTCCACAAGAACAGTGTTTACTGCCTTGACATACTCTCAGGATCTGTGATAACTCTGGTGGACTTCACGCTGGAGGCCATCTTGTCCAATCCCTTCACTTTATAGATGACTAAACCCAGGCTGAGATAAGTAACTTGTCCAAGGGCAGCTAGGTGGCACCATACAGCACAGAGTGCATGGTCCGGAATGAGTTGAAATCTGGCCTCATACACTAGCTGTGTGACCCTGGGCAAGTCATTTAACCCCATTTGCCTCAGTTTCCTCATTTGTAAAATGAGCTGGAGAAGAGATGGCAAACCACTCCAGCATCTTTGCCAAGAAAACCCCAAATGGGGTCACGAAGAGTCGGACAAAACTGAAATGACTGAACAACAAAAACTTGTCCAAGGTCACGTAACTAGCAAGTGTTGGTGGGATCTAAACTTCTTCCTGATTCCAAGTCTCTATCTCAGAACAGCAGGGGTCGGCAAACTATGCCTTGAAGACCAAATCTGACGTGCCATTTGTTTTTGTATGTCCAGGGAGCTAAGAATGATTTTTACATTTTTAAATAAAGATATACTCAAGCACTTTACAAAAACAGGTAGAGGTTAGTCCTTGGGTCCCTAGTTTGCCTACTTCCTGCACTGCACAATGATACCTCTTAATAAAGGAGGTAACGTTATCAAAGAAGGCAATTATGATGATGGTCTGTTGAAAAGAGGTATCATTTAGTGTAAGAGAACTTTTAACCGTTCTAGAGCTATATGAATTATCTTAATTCATTTTTTATTTCAGTTCCTCGGCAGCTAGATGGCATAGTTTATGGAGTGCTAGACTTAAGTCAAAATGACCTAAGTTTTAATCCTAATTTAAATATTTATTTAGCTATGTGACCCTGGACAAGTCACTTAATCTCTCTGTGCTTCAGTTTCCTTACCTGTAAAATGAGGACAATCATTATAGCATCTACCTCACATGGTTGTGAGGACCAAATGAGGTGATACATGTAACCCACTTAGCAAACCTTAAAATGCCATGTAAATGTTAGTTCTCTTTATTATGATTAATTGGGAGCAAGGCAGAAGAAGAGGTTACCAAGAAGAGCATAGACCCTGGGCTGCGATCAGGTCTAATGCTTGTCTGACATTCTCAAGTGAAGACATGACTGGCAAACCTGATTGTAAGCTTGGGATCAATGGCTCTTCTCTGTCTCTTTCTGACTCCTTAATTCCAGCAAGTCTCTGTGGTTCTGGGCCTCAGAGGCTCCAGGTGCAGACAGAGGAATGAAAAATGAGCTTTTTACAAAATAAAAATCAATGCAACTTTTCCAAACTTCAGCAGGGGTCAGGGCCACTGGTAAGTCTCCTCCTCTCTTGGTCTCAATGGAGGCCTCCTGAATCCCAATGCACTGCATTGACAACAAAGTGTCTTCCCCTCTATTTCAGTTAAAACAAATTGTATGGAAAAGGGCAATGTAAAATTCTCCTTGAAAAAGATGAATAGAGAGTCTGGCTGTCATCTTGGCCACATTTGGGACACTGGGGACAGGCATGCAAGGACGTAGACAGATTGGGAGATTTCTTCCATTTGGAGGGGAAAAAAAACCTACCATCTATTTTTTTTTGGGAGGAAAAAACCCAACTCTGACATGTATTTATCTGTGTGCCTGCTATTCTTTCCCCACCCCACTTTCTTCCCCCTTCCTTTTCTTTGTTTCTCTCCTTCTTTCCAGTTCATAAAGATTGGCTGGTCAGGAGAGGTACTGAATGGTTTGTAAAAATCTGAGGGGAGAAGAGTGTCAAGAAACATTTTTGAATTCCTCAACAGCTTGAGAGGTGAGGAGGAAATCAGAAAGGACTAGGTTTATGGCCATGGGCCAGAACATGACAAGGCATTTATGTGGTCGAGATGACTCCCTGGAAATGTACCCAGGCACCTCCTTTCCCTAAAAGCCCCAAGGAGTCCTCCTTTTTTATTTTGGGGAGGATTAAGAGGAAGTAGAAGGGGAAGGTTAAGGAAAAGAAGGATGAGGAAATAGATGAATATATTTCAGTGTGAATTTCAAGGACGTCTCTTCCCAGCCTATGGAACAGAAAGGGTATTGGCTTATGCAGTCACAGATGGGCCAGATGCCCAATTTTGGGAGCGGAGCTAAGCAGGCTCCAGAGGAAAGATAGAACACTTGCGGGCAAGAGGATGGCTGAAGAAGGACAACATGGAGACCCTAAGGAGGGGCAGGTCTGCAATTTAGTCTCAGGGCCCACCTCCTACCTTTACACTGGAAGCGGTGGGTGGGTGTTGTCAGCAAGAGTCTGTCTGCCATGAGCTCAGGGCTGCTGCAGCGGGCAATTCCTGGCTCCTTGTAGCCTGCCTTCACCCACTCTGAAAGCCAGCGTAGGCTGCAGTCACAGTGCAGGGGGTTGGTACCCAGGGCCCTGAAGAAGCAGCAGTACCAGCTATTAGGTCTTCCTGACTTCCATCTTCTTGGCACATGTCCCATATTTTAGGAGCCATCTCAGTGTTAGCTTCTCTTAACATACACTGGTGTGCTTTTAGCTGCTAAAGTGGGTAAGTCTTTTGGGGTTTGGGGCAGTGATAAGTGGAGAAATAAGGCCTCTGTTACCCCCCTAAACAGTCCCTGCCCCACCTGATTACCCTCCCATCCCAGAACCTCTGTTTCAAGTTCCTCCTCCAACTTGGGAAAATTCCTTCCCCACACTTGCAGAATTCCATTCTTCTTTTTACCATTCAGATCACATCTCACTACCAGGAAGCATTTCTGAACCTCAATTGGCCTAGGCATCAGTCTTTCTCCCATATTTGTTGTGTTTATGGGGGAATCCATTCTGTAGAGAGAGCTCTAATAAAGACGGGGTCACACGTTCCTAGTGAGCTCTAGAATCATACACATACAGGTGTCTAAAGGATCGGCTTGAAGAGCCCAAACTTCAAAAACTGGGGAGTTTAGTGCTGAGCAATGGAGAGACTCTTGAGGTAGCTATCAGGAAATCTAGGTTTTGTTCCTAGTTTCTGCCACTGCTTGCTGTGGGACCTCATGTGAAAATGGTCTCAATCTTTCTGTAGAATAGGTACCTCAGCCCCTGCCTCTGTGGGGCAGAAAGAAGGTATAGGAAACTAAGTTGAAGTGTGCAGAAACCCATCCAGTTCTTGGGAAGACAGAAATCAGCAGTGTGATCCTTCCCTGATTCCTAGCTGTCATATTCTTATATTTCCAAGGTTCATAAGTTTAGCCATGGAGATCTGAAAAATCATTCTTTTCTTCCCTGAGAATTGCTTTATAATTAAAAAAAAAGCCTAAATTTACTTAAAGCATCATAGGATGTCAGAGCTAGAAGGAACCTAAGAGGTCTCTGGCTCTGGGTGAGGGGAAACAAAGATTCATCCTTTTCAAAGGAAGATTCAGACAGAGAGTAGATTGTTTGTTTTCTTTCAGAGACCTCTGGCACCAGAACCTCTGGCTAAGGAGGCTGAGGGACTGGCCTGTGGATGGTCCAAGTCTGAAGTTCCCTGGGGTCCTTATGGAGGTCACAATAAAAACAGAGGGAATAAGATAGGAGAATGCTAGGAGTGTACCTCACAGAAAACAATGAGGGTCATTAATAACAGCCATTTTCCCCGTGCACATTTCTCAAAAAGTCATTTAGTTGAGGCTTTTGGCATACATTTCACAAACACATTTGCTCCATGAGAGTGAGGGTAGTAAAACAATGACAAGGTGAGTTTTCAGCAAGGCACTTACTGATGCCTCTCAGCTCAGCAAAATTAAATATAGGTTAGTAAACTAACAGTCTAGAAATGGGCTCAATGCATTCATTCGGTAAGATAAACTAATCCTGTGTGTGTGTGTGTGTGTGTGTGTGTGTGTGTGTGTGTGTGTGTGTGTGTAAGTGGGGAAGCAAAGGGCAGGGGAAGGGGGGAAAGGGGACTAAGGGAGGGGAGAGTCGCTACTTACAGATGGGAAAGAGAGGTCAGGTCATTAAATGAGCCCTCAGGAACACTGGAAATGTCATTGCCATGAAGAGTTCTGGAAAAGGGATAAATTGAAACGTTAAAATCCAACCATTTTCTCTATGCCTCCATCTCATCTTCACCACTGTCTCTTATCCCTACCAAAAATTCCATTTCTCACCTCTATCCTTTTGTACAGATGCTCCCCCCTTATGTGGCATGCATTGCCTCTTCATCACCTCATAGAATCCCTCATTTTATTCATAACACAGTGCTCCCTCCTACATGAGACCTTTCATGATCCCCACAGGTGCTGATGCTCTGGACCTCTTGAAATTACTTTGTGTAACTTCAGGCACACTTTCTATTTACTTGTTTGACTTCTGAATGTTCCCATTTTTGTGAAGGCACAATTCTTCCAGTAATTTCCCAGAACTGTAACCTCACCCCACACATCTCATCCGTTGCCAAATCTTGCTGTTTCTACCTCCATAACATCTCTCACATCCCTTGTCTCTTACATACTCAGCCACTGCCAGAGCTCAGGCCCTCATCAACCCCCACTTAGGTTATTGAAACAGCATGCCCCAGTGCTCTCTTCACATCACTGCCAAAGTGAGCTTTCTTAAGTGGAGATTTGAGCACGTAGCTCTTCTATTCCGTAAACTCCAGTGGCTCCCTATTGCCTTTAGGAACAAATAAATGTAAATTCCTCTGTTTAGCTTTTAAAGCCATTTATACATGTATAACCTATATCAAATTGCTTGCCTTCTCAGTGGAGGGGTTTGGGGAGGGAAGGAGAGAATTTGGAACTCAAAATTTTGAAAACCAATGTTAAAAATTGTTTTTACATGTAATTGGGGAAAAATAAAATATTAAATAAAGAAAAAGAGAAAAAAAAATAGTCATTTATGACCTGGCCCCAACCTATCTTTCCAGCCTCAATGGACATTAATTACTCCCTCCTCTGTACACTAGCTTCACTTTGGTCCTCACATAGGACTTGAAGTCTTCTGTGTCTAGGGTTTGGCACCGGCTTGCTCCCCAGGCCTCTCTCCTCATCTCCACCTCTTTTCCTTTAGGGTCCTGCCCAAGCACCATGTTCTATATGACGATTTTCTTGCTTCCTCCCCTCCCCCCAAGCACCCTCTCAAAAGGGCTATATTTTAGTACTTTGCTTTATATTTATTCTGAACATACGTATATATGTTCTTGTTGTCTCTTCCATTAGAAGAATGGGATTGTTTCATTATTTAAATTTGTATTCTTAGCACCTAGCATAGTACCTGGCACATAGGAGGTACTTAAGAGATGCTAAATGCTTTTGTACCTTTTAATAGCTAGCCTGTAAGGTAAGTGCTATTATCATTCCCATTTTACAGATGAAGAAACTTAGGCTGAAAGAACCTGACGTGCTGAAGGTCACATAGCTAGGAAGTATCTGGGGCAGAATTTGAACTTAGGTTGTCCTGATTCCAAGACCAGCACCTTACCTACCTGCCTCAGTAACCGATGTTGTTTATATTCTACCAGTAGAATGTAAAGTCTTTGAGGGCAGGGATTGTTTTATTTTTGGTTTTGCATCCCTATCATCTAGGACAGTACCAGGCATGTAGAAGGTAAATGATACATGTTTGATGACTTTGTTAAATTGAATTTGCCTGTTGAAATACCATCGATCCCTAAACAATTAGATATATATCAATGCAATAAAATATTACTGCAATGTAAGAATGTGAGGGATTCTGAGAAGCCTTGTGAGACTTAGGTGAATTAAGTAATCAGAACCAGGAAAAGAAATACACCAATGAGTACAAGAAAAAAGAAGTAAACAGAAAGATTACTTTCTGTAAACAGGAAGAACAAAAGCCTCAAGCTGAATGGTTTCAGAATTATGACCAAAGTTGGCCCCCCAGGAAGGGTTAAGAAAATGCACCCCCCTCCTTTTATTGTCAAGTGTGAGACAAAGGTTATGGGGCATTAAGTGTGTTGTCATTGTGCTGGGTTAGTTTGGCTGACCTATTTCATTTCCTCTTTCTTTTCTTCCTTAAATTGTAAGCTCCTTGAAGGCAGGGAATGTCTTTGGCCTCCTTTTTGTATCTCCAGCACACAGAAGGTGCTTAAGTGTTTGTTTATTGATTGATTGTTAAATCTTCATTACACAGCAACTACGATAATAATTAGGTAACATTTGTGTAAATATCTTCAAGGTTCGCAAAGCGCTTTACAAAGAGGCAGGGGAGGAATAGCTTTAAACGAATGCGATGTAAAACAAAATGTATCAACAAAATCAGATGAAATTAAAGCCATTCTCTTCATCTCCAGGATTCAGCTCCAATGTTATACCTTTTATGAAGCTCTGACCAATTCCCTTACCTAAAGATGATCTTTCCTTCCTCTGACCTTCATAGTTTTCTGTGTCTCTAGGCTGCTGCTCTCACATTCTATTTTGTTCATTTATTTGCATGGCTACGCCCACCCCTCCCAGATTACAGACTCCACAAGGGTTTATTAAATCTTCGTATCTCCCCCAAGTACCTAAGACAAATAATAATTCGCACATAGTTAATATTTAGTAAAGATTTGTTGAATTTCATCAGATTTCTGAAAGCTACAAATTCCACTAGCCACCCCAAACTGGGCAGAAAGCTACCATGAAGTGTATATATGTGGCTCAATTCCATCTTGCCACTCTATATGAAACCCTGATGTTTATACTAGCCGCTGACGCCTTCCCTGCTTCAGGAAACTCTCCAAGCCAAAATCTTATTAAATTTGTAGGAGACACAAAGCAAGGAGGGATGGTTAACACATTGGATTCCAGAATCAGGATCCAAAAAGATCTTGAGAGGTTATGATATCATACCACATCCAAAAAGATGAAATTTAATGGGGATAAATATGACTTATATTCCTATACTTGGATTCAAAAAATAAAATTCACCAACTCAAGAGGAGAGAGACATAGCTAGAGAACAAGTTTTTTTCTGTTAAAAACATCTGGAGGTTTTAGTGGCCTTCAAGCTCAATATGAGCCTCTATTAGCAGCTAGAAGGGGTACTGACTGCAATGTTGGGATACATTAAGAGAGACTCAGGCGTTAATGGAGATTGCAGGACCTCTTCCTACCTGGAGATTCTCACAAGCTGAGTGACAACCTACATGGTTTAAGTTTGGACAAGCTGTCCAATCTGGAGAGAAAACTCTAAGAGAAGACCTTTTATTTCTAAACATTCAGATTAAAGCTGTGACACACTTAGAAAACAAATTGTTGACAATATGCAGTGACTTATTTGCTTTGTAGATTATCCATAACAACACAAGAAGACTTTCACTCTCTGCCTTGTGGCTGGTTCCCTTGCCCTGACAATGGACTTAGCCAAGAAAAGTCTGGGCCTGGTCACATAGCTGAGTTTCTGTGCATATCAAAACCACAGAATTTCAGAATTGGCAAGGACGTTAGAGGGCATCTATTTCAATTTCTACCACATTTCTTTTTCCACGTTTCCAGCAAATGATCATTCAGCCTCTATCTAAATGCCTGTAGTGATGGGGAACTTATTACCTTCTGACTTAGCCCTCACTATTACATTTGTCTTTATACTGAACACAAGTTTATTACCCCTCTGTAATTCTCAACTGTTGCTCCTTCTGCTCTTTGATGCCCACCAGCACAAATGTAACCCTTTCTCTATGTGACAGTCCTTCAGACATCTGAAGATAGCTGCCATGAGACCCAGAAGTCTTCTCTTCCCCAGGTTATAAATCCCTTCAAGTGATCCCTGTAGAGTGTGTTCTCCAGGCCTCTCAGAGGCCTGGTTGTTGCCGTCCTCTATGTGGGTTTCAATTTATCAAAGTTGTTCCTATACTGAACCTAAAACTCTAGATATCCAGATATTTGTGTCGGATTGCACTTAAGACTCAGATCCATGTCAGTGTCTGAGTGTATCTTTTTGACTGCATTCCAAAGGAACTAGAAGTTATTTTTGGATAATACAGGTACTAGTTTTTTTCCCTTACTTATTTTACCCTTTATCAGTGTAGACATCTGACAGTTGATTATGTATTCATACTCACATGTGATGTAACTACCTTATAGCCAGGGGCTAAAATCTCAGCAGGGAAGAACAATTAGCAAATTCTTAAATCAAATTAAATCAATTAATCTTTTAGTCAGTCCTGTAGTAAAGGATGAATCATTTGTGGTTTAAGTAAGAATGCATGTACCTTGATTATGCAAGTGATGGGTGAACATAGGTCATATTCGTGAAAAGTAAGATATTTGAAATTTCAAACACATTTTCATTTATTGGTGAGCACTACCCACCACTTACAACAATGATTAAAGTTCTTAATAGTGGGAATTAATGATTTTTTTCCTCTTTAACTTATTTCAAACTTAGTAACCATCAGTAAGAACATTCAATTACAGAAATGAATTTAAAAAAACCCCCAACCATCCATGCACTAATCACCTTGATAAAGCATGGATATTTTTAGTTAAAATAAACCATTAGGCTTGACAGCAGAACTATAAACATGACAATATCCAATGAACTTGCAATCTATTTTTCTCTAGGACAAATATGAAAGTGCATTTGGTTTTCACCTATGACATATTAGTGCATGTAAAAATACATGGGTTTGGAAAGGGTTCTGAAATCATATCAAGACAAGAGGCTTTGCTGCACTCCTTTCCAACAACGCAGTTTCCAAGGGACCCCTTAAGTAGCAAGTCAATAACTTTCCACAAAACTTTCCAGCCCAGGCAACAATCTCTGGGTAAAGTTAGTATGATGGAGTAGGTGGCAGTGGACGCGTATCTACTCACTGTCCAAGAGGGCCTAGCTACTTCTTAAAAGGATGGAGAAGAGGCCAGAGTAGGGATGCTTCCAATGCTTTTATAGGAGTCACTTATTCCCCAATTCATCTGATTATTTATGGATCATACAAGCCCTTCCATGCCATTTACCCAGATGGCTTAAAGGCTCCTCACTGTTTTGCAAATGAACTTTAGCCACACTGTTAATCATTTCCGAATGAGACCTGGGCCCCTGGAGGGGAACAGGCAGTATTAATTTAAAAACACTGAATGACCCGAAGGCAGCTTTGGTGCTGTGACTTCTCTTGGTTACACACCCATATATTAGCTCTGCTGCTGAGAACTCTATAAACTTTCTACACAGTAACAGACTGTAATTCACAGGCACAAAGCTGCCTAGAATTGCTCGGTCAGCAGATTCTCTCCTCTCGTTGCCACCTCCCTCCCTGCTCCCCCATCCCCAAAGAAGAAATTCTGATTTTGAAAACCCAACACCAAGCAAAAGCTAGCAAGTAGAAAGGCAGCAAGAGCCCACGCAGGGAAGGCTTCAGCATCCATCTATTCTCTTCCTCGCAGTGTCCTCCTCCACCCTCAAGAGTGAGTGGCTCGGAGCAAAGGAGGACTCTTTCAGGGTCTTAGAACTTCCTCCTCAGTTTCTCTGCTTATGACTGACAATGCATTGCTGAGGGCAAGTTAGGGAAGGTCAGGGTTCAGTTAAGACTCATCTTTGAGAATATAATGGAAGGTAACCCTAACCCTATCACAATCAGAGTCAGAAATCTGATGTGGATGGACTATGGTGGTCATAGTATCATCGCTTTAGAGCTGGAAGGGATCTTAGAGGCCGTGGAATCCAATGCCTTCCTTTTAAGATAAGGAAACAGAAAAGTGAAGTGAATCGCCCAGGGCCACACAGCTCTATCCATTGCACCATCCAGCTGCCTAAGACGATCCAGGATGAAGTTTCTCAGGTGCTTATGAACTCATCTGTTATGACAGACCAGAAACCTAGTGAAGAGCTGGAAGGTCTAAAGAGGTGTGAGGGATGGTATGTAATTTTAGCTCTGGAACATGCCTTTGGGGTGATGCTGTCCAGAAGCTGGTACGTTCAGGTCATCATGTAGTAAAGCTTCTGGGTGTCTCCCCAAACATAACTTCATATACCAAAAAAGGGAAATCACAGCTGGCATAGTTATTAAGTCAGTGGCCAGCCCTGTCTCTTGACAAGAGGATTACAAAGGGACTCCCCTATCCTTAAGAGCACACTTTTGGGGGCTGGTTGGGACAATCAGCATTCATGTCCTCCCCCTCACTTCACCTTTTTACCCAATTATCTCCCTGGCCAATATCAATGTATCCACCTTCTGCATTTTATTTCCAGCAGGGCTGTTTTCTGGGTATTTACTTCATCTCAAGGATGGCATAGCATAGTGGATAAGAGCCAGCTTCAGAGCCAGGAATCCCTGGGTTCAAATCCTACCTCAGACACATAGTGGCTGTGACTCTAGGCCAGTCACTTTACTTCTTGTTGCTCTAGGTAACTCCCTTCCACTATGAATTGCTTACCTGCATTGGCAGAGAGCGTTTGAGAGTTTCCAACGAAGCCACAGGTTTAGTCCTCTCCATATTGTAAGAACTAGTATATTTAATTTTAAAATGCACCTAAGAGCCTCACAACACTGAGAGTAACCTGACTTAAATACTGACTATGATGTGCAAAGCAGTGTGGTAAAGAGGGAATTACAGTGGAAGGCCTGGGAATTCCATGTAGATGACCATCGGTTCAAATCCCAGCTCCAATATTTTCTAGCTGAGTGTCTGTGGGAAAGTCCCTTCACCTAAGCTTCAGTTTCCTCATCTGTAAAATGGGGGTAATTATGCCTATAGTGACTACATCACAGAATTTTTGTGAGGATCAAACGAGAGAAATTGTGTAAAGCTCTGGGCAAACCTTAAGATGCTTTATTATTGTCAGCCCTGGGGGCAACTAGGTGATGCAGTGGATAGAGCATGGACCCTGGAGTCAGGAGAACATGAGTTCAAATGTGGCCTCAGACACTTCCCACTTACTAGCTGTGTGACCCTGGGCAAGTCACTTAACTCCAATTGCCTTGCAAAAAAAACATAATGTCAGCCGTGATGAGTGCTAATATACAAGGTGACCTTCAGCAAATCACTTCCTTTCTCTGGGCTTCAGTTTCTTCATCTATAATATCAGGAAATTGGGTCAGATTATCTCTAAGGTCCCAGGTCTAATATTTTTCTGTTGCTGAAAAGTCTTGGGTTGGGGAGAAGATGTACGTATGGATTAGTGTCCACAGAATACAAGACAGCCAAAGCTTGAGCAGGAGATGAAAGTGCCACAGGCAGGAGAGTGCCCTGGATGGGATGGAAGTGGATCACGCAGAGCACCACTGAGACGTCCCAGTCTCTTCTGCCTGTACACACACACACACACACACACACACACACACACACACACACACACACACACACCCCATCCACATCTGATGGGGCTCGGCCGACAGCACTTGAGCCACCTGAATAACTGGCAAGGAGGAAGAATACTCAGAAACAAGTGGAGTGAGGGAGCACTCTGGCTCAGCTCTGGCCAACGCAATGCACTTTTCTTCCTTTGTGTTAAGCTGGAAATGGGGAAATTGTTTTGCTGATGTTTTCTTTTCTGAAACTCTCCTGAGAACGTGGATAATAAATAAGTGACAATAACAGATTGCACGCTGTCAGTCCTGGGCACTTCTTCCCCTCTGGAGAATTGATTTTTAATAACCACGCAGATGACACGTGGCGTGAGTAGTAGCTGACACCAGAGTTTTGTGGGCTGCAATAAATCACATCAATCTGGAGCGCCCTGAATGGGCACAGCTACTGGGGATCCATTTCACTAATGTCATCGTGCACAGGCTCGAGTGGGCATCCAGTTAATAGGTTTGGAAGTGCCAGTGAGCTGTTCCTAACAATATGAAGCTAAGATAAGAAGACACAGAAATGATAACAGGCATAATAAATAATAATCATAATAATAGAAATTCAGGGTGGCATAGTAGATAGAGCCCTTGACTTGGAGTCAGGAAGATCTGAGTTCAAATTTTGCCTCAGATACTTTCTAGTTGTGTGACCCTGGGTTAGTCACTTATCTTTGTTTTATCATCTATAAAATAGGGACAATAACGGCACCTACCTCTCAGGGTTCTTCTGAGGATTAAATGAGATAATACTTGTAAAGTGCTTTGCAAACCTTCAAGTGCTATGTAAATGATAGTTACAATGGTAGTGGTTGATATCAGGAGCTGGAATGGCCACTGGTGACCCCCAACTTTTACCTACTCCTAAGCTGTGTTTTGAAACAAGGTTCTTTCCTTTAGGCTAGTCTAGACTAGCCTAGAGTCACCTCTTTCTGCAAATAGTCAATTTATTTAGGGAGGGTACTGAGCTACCAGGGTGAAGAATGAAATGAGATTATTCCATGGCTAGCCACCCAGTCAGATGGAACCAAATGTCAACCCTCCTGTTAGCCTGCTAGGGGATACTCACAACACCCGAAGAGACCGCAGGCCATTAAAGGCATGGATTGGAATGCACCGCAGCTGGTTGTAGCTTAGGATGCTAAGGGAGAAAAAGACACGATTGTAACAGTCTGTTGGTTCATCTGTCGTGGGCTATCCACAGGTAAGTCATGGACTTTGTGGGTTAGTCATCACTAAGGTTGCACAACAAGTCAGTTTCCTCCTCGTTACTGAGTAAGCCTCTAGGACTACTGGCCTCTGCCTTCAAGTGGTGTGCACTCAAGACATGCAAAGCAAACTGAAAAAAACAAAAAGCTGACTGGCTTGAACAAAGTGTAATCAGGCAGGAAAAGTCATTGTGAGTGGGGAAAACACCCTCAACTAAATAGGAGGAATTACAAAACTGAATACAAATATCTACTGATTTTCTCTGATGCTGATTACATGTCTAGGCTCACCTCGACTGAAATGGCAGAGGGTCCATTAATATTCTTGAGATACCAGGAGAAAGGAGAGGAAGGGCTGCAGATGTTGGGTAGACCCCAAGGACATGGACATACCCATGGCTGGGCAGCCACATAGCTGTGTTTTCATCTAAATCATTGGAGGTAATATCCACAGAGATCACAGATCCATCTGAGTATCTGAGTACCAGTTGGTTTCCTGGGTAGGATGTCAGCTTCTTGAGGGCAAGGGCTATTTTCTTCTTTTTTTTTTTGTTAAATGTTTCTATCTCTAACACCCATTGCTCAGCCTGACACAAGGAAAGTGCTTAACAAATGTTTGTTGAGTTGAACTATATTGAATAAATGCCTAAGCTCTATGGTCATTAGCCTACTATACGTTATAGGTGGGGGTGGATAGGGAGAGGAAAGAGAAGATACAGATCTAAGGGAAAATAAAGGAAAAGAAGGGCCATAGGCTCGGTGACAAATGCTAGCTTGTGCTACTCACAGTGTGGAGAGCTGAGTCATATTGCTGAAGGTATAATTGGCCAGGATGCTGATGCTGTTATTGCTTAAGTCACTAGAGAAGAAAAGCACAACAGAAGAGTTACAGCTACCCTTGGTGCTCTGGACCAGTCATTTCTGATGGCCACTTCTCACTGTAGCCAAAGGTCACGCCCATGCGTTCTCATTATAGGCTGTTTCCAAATGTCCTTCACGCATGTTACCTGAGGATCTTACAACTGCCCCCAAATCCCAGTTCATCAGATTCCCTTAAACAGAGAGTGAAGTCATGGGTTTGGGAGGGAGTTCCAGGTCCTCTGTAGGAGATATTCAGAGGCAAAATGCAAGTCTGAGCTAGGAGCCAGGCCTCACTAAAGAACAAGTGAGTTAAGCCTTCACCTTTAGCTTGAAACCCTTCCTGCTCCCCTCAGTTGTCAGTGTTCTCCCTCCTAAGTTGCTTTGTACTGAACTACTTTGTATGTACTTGTATTTATTCTTATTATATTTATTTGTTTTTTATATATTTTTATATATGATAAGCAAATATATGTCTGTATGTGTATATATAGACATATATATAAAACATGAATATACTTAAAACATATACGCCCTCAAGGAACATGCATTCTAATGGGGGAGACAACAAGCATATATATATATATATACATATCTCCTTGTTGTTGCTTGGAGGTTTCAGTTGCGTCTGACTCCGTGACCCCATTTGTGGTTTTCTTGGCAAAGACACTGGAGTGGTTTGCCATTTCCTTCTCCAGCTCATTTTACAGATAAGGAAATTGAGGCAAACTGAGTTAAGTGACTTGCCTAGGGTCACACAGCTAGTAAGTGTCCGAGGCCAGATTTGACTCAGGAAGATGAGTCTTCCTGACTCCAGGCCCAGCACTCTATCCACTGAGCCACCTAGCTGATGTATGTATGTACGTGTGATTTATACATACACACATAGATACACGTGTATACACAAACAAACACACATACATATATACATACACACATCCAAACCTGACGTCTCCCCCATTAGAATGTGAGCCCCTTGGAGGTGGGGCTATTTAATTCTTCCTATTAATGTCCCCAGTGACTAGTACGGTTCCTGACACATAGCAGGGGCTCAATAAATGATTGATTGATTCATGTTAAACGATTGATTCTTTCCAGGTCTAACTTCCCAGTCATTCATTCCTCCACAGGTCATTTTCTGAGGAGAGGGGGAAGATGGGATCTCATTTGCCAGATGCTAAGAGCCCTGCCAAAGAGTACCTTCCTTCCACCTCAAGCTGACTGACCTACACAGGCCCTATTTTTGTGGGGCCATTGGAAGATGAAGAGCCTCCAAGAATATTTAGTAGTAACTACCAGAACGAGTATACGGGCTTTACCTCTCCCCAGTACCGCACACCAAACCAACCCAGTTCTGTCTGCCTTAGTACAGGGCAGCCCAGGTCTTCACTCAAGAGTTGTGCATATCTACAGAGAAGCATGCCAGGGCTGGTTACTTTCCTGAGGGAGGAAACTCAGTTAAAGACAGACTCTCATGTACCTCTTCCAGCTCATTTTAGACTATGTGCTTGGGATTAGGGAAGGGAAAGAGGGGGAGGAGTACATACCCTATCAAGTGTTAAGGTATTTTAAACCTGACGAGTCCTGCTGGTGCGTAACTGGTCCCGGTCCCTTATGGTGAAGCAGGGACAAAACTCTGTGGCTGTCTCTATCCCTCTAAGCATGGGGCCCACTGAGCTACCTCCCAGTGCAGGGGCAAAAATAAGCATCTCATGGAGTTTCCACCCAGGCCCAGGCTCCTTACATCAGCGTCAGGTGTCTGAGGGCGGATAGCTCTTTGGGTACAGTTGTTAAATGGTTTCCTTCCAGGTACCTGGAAAAAAAAAAAGACAGTGAAGGAAACAAATCACACACACACACACACACACACACACACACACACACACACACACACACACACACACACTTCAGGCAAGGACCCCTGAGAGATGAGGCTCTGTTCCCCATGCATTATGGATGGAAATAAGGCAAGATTTATGGGAAGAAGGGGAAAAAAGACTTCTACTTCTTGAGCCCAAGGTTGTTTCTTTTCACAGGGGAACACACAAGTTCCCTTTTTTCAGGGCCTTTACTTCAAGCAGTGCTAACCCGGGCCACCCAGGATTAGCTTGCAAAGCTTGGCTATGAAAGTTGGAAAGAATTGCTATCCTTCCTTCCAGGGACAACATTTAGTATTCAAGGACACAGAGTACACATTTGGAAGGGGAAAAAAAAGGATTTTTAAAATGTCCCTCTTACTGTTAGCTGAAATTACTATACGTTCCAAATCTGGAACATGGTTGCTGTAGAAAGACGGCATGACATAGTAAACAGAAGACTAGATTTAGAGTCAAGAAGATCTGGGTTCAAGTCTTGCCTCTGACACATACTAACCATGTGACTCCAAGTCACTTAATGTCTTAGCGGCCAGGTTACTGCTCGAGGTTATTGTCCAAGTGACAGAAGAATTGCAGATCTGTGCTGATGAAGGGAGCGTGCACACAGGCAGCTCCCCACAATGAGGAAATCACAACTCTGCCCCTGCTTCGCATGCCATCCCCTACCCTCCCTGCCTCCTAAAATAGACTGCAGGGAGGCAGTCATGGACAGATATGGATACAAGCTCTCAGATTTCCAGAGGAAGAACCAGACCACCAGATCAGAGCTTTAGAGTTGGAAGTAACCTTTGAGGCAATCTATTTCAACTCCCTGGTTTTCCAGGCGAGGAAACAGAGGCCCACGTTGTTACTTGCCTAAGATGACACAGGTCAAATTCCTGGCAGAATCAAGATTTGAACCCGAGTTCCTCATCTCCAAAGCCAGCGTTCTTGTCACCATCGGTGGCTGGTGACCAAAGCAAGCAGCCGTATTGAAAGGAAGGAAGACCAGTTATGAAGACAGGTAAAAAAGACTAGGCTTCTTCAGCCTGGGAAGGCAAAGACCAAGGGAATCTATAAAGTCATAAAAGACATAGATAATGATAATAATAGCATTTTGAGATTTGTAAAGCCCTTTTACATATATCATCTTATTTGATCTTCACAACAACCCTGTGAGATAGGTGCTATTAGTATCCCTATTTTACAGATGAGGAAACTGAGGCAGAGCTTAAGTGATTTGCCCAGTGTCACACAGCTAGGAAGTATCTGAGGTTAGATCTGAACTCAGGTCTTCCTGACTCTAGGCCCAGTGCTTTTTCTGCTACCCCACCTAACTGTATAGAAGGTAACACCTGAGCTGAGCCTCAAAAGAAACTTACTTTCCTGTTGTTGAACTATATACCTCTTTCTATCATGTACCCTGGGGTTCTTGCTGCCAACAGGATACTATCCTGTGCCTATTTTTCTTTATCCTTCTTCCCCAAACCCTACTCCCCAGCACACAGCAGAAGATCTTTTAAGTAGAAGGTACTCAAGGAGTATTTGTTAAATTAGTTGTAGAATGCTGCAACAATATTGTTTTCTAACTTTCTCTTTGTTAATATACAGTACATGGGGCAGCTAGGGGACACAGAGCATAGAGCACTAGGCCTGGAGTCAGTAAGACCCGAGTTCAAATCCAGCCTCAGATACTGAATAGCTGTGTGACCCTGGGAGAGTCACTTAACCCAGTTAACCCTTTCCTTAACCCTAAGGGAACCTCAGTTTCCTCATCTGTAAAATGAGCTGGAGAAAGAAATGGCAAACTACCCCAGTATCTATTCTAAGGAAACCCCAAATGGGGTTACAAAGAATCGGACGTGACTGGAAATGACTGAACAATAACATATAGTACACATCTAATTTCTTTCCATGCTGCACTCTGGACGTTCGCTACCATCCTGTAGACTCACTCCAGCCCTGGAGCTCACATTTTGGAAGCACCTTGCATCCCTATGGCCTCTCCCTCTGATTGGATGGCTCCTTCATTTCTTGGATGGAACCTTCATTTAAGGAGGGCACCCGGGTCAGTCATATCTCCTTCCTCTCCAGGCAGAGCACCAGACTTCTTCTACCATCCCCCATGCAGTACCTTTGTCTCTCCCCACAACCAGACCCCTGTGCTGCCCTCCTCCATTAAAACTTTGCCTCTTTGAGGGAAGGGACTTTCTTCCTACTCATACTTGTATTCCCAGTGCTCAGCATAGTGTTTTGCAAACAATAAGTGCCTAATAAATGCTAGTTGACTGGCTATTTTAACTCCTAATTAAATGCTGGTTTAAAAATAAACTTTTCTACACATAAAAAAAAAAGGACTGAAATGACACACGGTCAGTGGTACACGTAGTGAGCTGTTGCTTGGAATACAGAATGACTGAAATGTTTGCACACTCTTTGTAGGTCTGGGCGCCTGGGTTTTTGGTGGTTTGCAGAGTACAGAGCTAAAAGCTATGGGAGTGGGGCTGGTCTAGGGGGGAGTACAACTGGGGAACTTTGCTATTGAATTCTTCCAGTTAGGTAGATAAAACTTTATGTGGGAAATGGGGTTTTAGGAGTTCTGCACATGGTGACTTGGAGGAGGGAAGGTACTTAGGTGCAGGGTATCATGTGAAGGAAGGCTTGGAGGCATCAGTAGGATAAATGATCCAGGTGGGTGGTAAGGAGCAAGCTGAGGGTGCACTTCACCCAGGCAGACTGATTAGCCCCAAGAGAAATACCACTAAGAAGTCTGGATCAGATAGAAAGTGATCGGACATAACCTCAGACTCAGCCACAGACACATGCATACTTTTTTTCTCTCCATCCATTCTCTTCCTCCACTTTTCCTTTACTCAGTTCAGGGCAGAAAACATTTATTAAGAACCTAATATTTGCAAGGAACTACATTGGGATCTTTACCAAAATAAAAATGAAACCACTCCCAGTTCTGAGGAGATTACATTCTACTGTGGACACAGCATGAAAACAGATACAATATAATTCAGGGAAGGAGAGAGAGTGAACATTGATTCTGGGGGATTAGCAAAGCCTTCATGTAGGAAGGGGTGACCTCTGAGCTGAGCTTTGAAGGAAGCTAGTGAGTCTACAAAGCAGAGGTGAGCATAGAGTAGATGCCACATGTGGGAGACAGCTTGTGCAAAGGTATGGAGGCAAGAGATTGGATATCCAGGTAAAACCTGGTGGGCCAGAGTGATTGGATGATAGGATAAGTGAAGGGAAATAGTAGTCATAATACAAAAAAATTTTGGAAAGGTAGGCTGGAATCAGATACCGGAGGAATTTATCCTGGAGGCAACGGAGAGCCTCCAAAGGTTTTTGAGCAGGAGAGCAACATGTTCAAGCTTGTGTTTTAGTAATATTAATTTGGAAGATTAGAAAAGGGAGAGACTGGAAACAAGGAGAACAATAGTGAGGCATGTACAGGTAGAGTCAACAGGACTTGGACAGCAGATAGATGGGGTGAGAGAGAAGGAAGACTCAAGTTTGACTCCAAAATTACCCTTCTCCTCCTCCTTCTTCCTTTCTCTTTTCATCACTCACAAACTGTCACTGCTTGGGGAGAATGTCTTGAAATGCCCCAAACAGGTTCACATTAATTTAAGTGGCTGATTCGTGGCTATAGGATGTGGTGTGATTCACAGATACTCAGTTTGGAACGGATTAGCTGGACCCTGCTGTCTTAGCATCCCAGGGACTTAAGTGTTAGTCTGGACAGAATTTCACAGAGGTGGTCTGCTCTAGACATGGGATGAGGAAGGCATTCTCAAACACGGGCAAGAAGGCTGATTCGGCTTCGTTGTTCTTTTATTGCAAGGGACAGTTCTACTTGTAGGTGGTGCTGTGGATAAAGCACTGGGACGAAAGTCAGGAAGACCTGAAGTCAAATTTGACCTCAGACACTTACTAGTGGTGTGACCTTGGGCAGGTCATTTAACACCTGAGTTTCCTGACCTGTAAAATGGGGATCAAAACATAACATTTGTTGTTGTTGTTGTTGCTTTTTAGAGGCAAATAGGGTTAAGTGACTTGCCCAGAGTCACACCACTAGTAAGTATTATGTGTCTGAGGCAGAGTTTGAACTCAGGTCCTCCTGACCCCAGGGTCGCTGCTCTATCCACGGCGCCACCTCGCTGCCCCTCAACACACAATATTTGGAAAGTGCTTAACACACACTTAACAAATGCTCTTTCCCCTCCCTCCTTCTGGGGACAGGGAAGGGTCATGGAGGAGTAACAGCAATGCTAAAACAAATGGGAACAATGAACTTCTTACTTAATTTTTAAAAATGGAGCACAGGTGTGTCAAAAGGACATTTGGCACGCTCTTTGTCATCTCAGAAGTGTGCAATCAGGGCAGGACACTAGAGTCCAGGGAAGCCTAGACCGCCGATCACGCTTAACCATAGCGACAGTCATGATCACAAATGGCCAACCCTTTGATGCATTTGTTGTTAGATGCTGGGAACAACTGATGTTTGTAGAGCGCCCTTGTGTGTGCAAAGTGCTTTACATTTATTAGCACCTTTGATCCTCAGGACAACCCTGAGAGGCAGGTATTGAAGGCATTATCACTATTACATAGCTAGAGAGCTGGCTTGGAAGCCAGTAAGACTGAAATAAAGCCCGATGGCTGCCCCATACCCGCTGTGTCACACTGTGCAAGGCTTTAGCCTCTCAGTTCTCTACGTAACTCTCTAGAAGTACGAGGTGTAGACAAGATGCCAATTTACATGAACTGGATGAGTTTCCTCCCCCTGGGAGTTCTCTTAACCAATGAAATCACAAGTCCACTACATAAAGCTCGGCAGACTGAGGCTGTGAGAATCGAAGTCACTCATCTGTGGCCACACAGCTTGAAAGCATCCAGGGCGGGATATAAGTCTAGGTCTTCCTGACCCCGCTCCTGCTCCCCTGGA